CCCCCCCCCCCCCCCCCCCACACACAAACACACAAATTATGGCATTCCAGGGCCACAACACACATCAATATTCATTAAGTATATCATCATGGCCAGAAGAGAACAGAAGTATTGAACGGCAAAAAGTAAGAAAACTGTCCGGTAGTCGTACCTGCAATCTCTGCAGATTCTGCTGACAGTGCTGTGATGGCTCCAATCACACTTCCACTAGCTGTGAGGAACTGTGAAGGGAAAATAAAAGAAAGGACTACATGAGAGAAGAACTAGACAGCCTGAACAACTCTTTTGGTGTGCTACAATTTATCATACAGGGTCCAACATTGCAAAGAAAAGCTGTAGTGCATTGTTGTAATCAGTGGAACGGGTATAAAGAAAGCTAAATGAAAATATAGCACTCATACACTAACTCTGCTCATTCAAACTTGAGCTCTATAGATACTATGAAACTTGAAGTGAAATTTAGGACAGTGAAATTTTAAGTTCTTCGTATATATTATATTATTCATATATATTTAAATATATATATAATCTTCTAGAGAATGGTGAAAATGGTGAAATGGTATAGGTTTAAAGCCCCTATTAACACTATTAGGTTATTTAAGGGGCGGCACCTCCTAGTTTAACGTCCGTCTCCGACCATAGAATGGAATAATACACATACATATCTAGGATGGATACTGGTCTCTCTAAAGTCCTCTTCATGAGGCCATCTGCTCAGTAAGCTTTACTACGGCAACAAGTGTGGAGAACTTTGCTCACTAAATTGCTCAACATCTTTTACATCTCCATCCACATTAGTACCATCTACACCCAATTGAAATAAAAATCCTTGACTAATATTACCTGAGCTTTAGCTGCTTTCCACCTGTCAAAGCCAGATCTAAGAAGAATGGCAAAGTCTCCGACTTCATGCGGAATTTCATGCAGAAGTATGGCAAGTGTTGTGACTAGACCAACCTGTCAGAGTTAAAGTTAAAGAAAAAGTTATAAGCTATGAAATGATACACATATATACACACACAAACACATACAAATATGATGGGCACATAGACAACACGCTGCCCCTCTCTTTTGACATAACAAAGATTGTTCTTAGAATCTTTAAATTGTAGGAATATTATTGTCTTTATTGATAGACATTTATATATATATCTGTGGTTGAAAAGGTATGATTAAGATTTGAGCACAACAAAGTTTTCTTTTCACCTTACTGTATAATCCCATTTTACGTACTAGAGTGTCACAAATACAAAAAAAATTTCAGCGGCATTCGAAAATTGAGTATATAGCAACCTAACAACCAAGGCCAGGCCAAATCCTAAAACGTCTACTTCTGCTTTTCCACGACGCCACCATCTCTTTCAACATGGCAGAACAGATGGGAAAGACGTTGGAATAAGTAATGATCTGTATTAGTTCACTTCTATTTAAACTATAAGAAAAACGACAGATATATATTATATATTTTCAAGTTCTCTTTTACTTATGACATGTATCTACACTTTTCAGGACAAAAAAGGCATGTGCCTAAACATCTGGTATATTTATCACAAGTTTCATAGCCTACATCGATTACTACAGCAGCAAGATCTTACCTTTGTGCTTATACAAAAACTTCCAGCCACTGCCAGACCATGCGTGAAATTGTCCACCACATTGGCTAGAAGATTCAAATAACCACTTATCTGAAAGAGAGAAAAGAGGTATAAATTTCTCAGACGCAAGAATCTTCATGGAATTTGCACCCCTCTTATAATTATAATATAATAGCATGGACGATAGCATATCTAGAAATCTGGAGCACGTGTGAAATTTAACCCAGTCTGTACGCCCTGGGGTCATTTTGTACCCCCGGGGTAGTACTCTTCACATTTTAGAATACTTCTTGTACGAAGATCTCTTTGAAACTTTCAGTATTTCTCAAAAAATCATTTTGACAGACTGCTTTGCAAAGTGTACGGATCGGATTAACGAGTAAATTTCCTCTTTGGAAAGTGGTGGCACAGAGTTCCCTACGTTGTATGGATACGACAGTAAAACACGACGTACAGATAGTATTAATGTGGTGAGTCGTCTCAGTCTTCATTTCCTCTTCAATAATACTTTAACCATTGAGCCAAGGACAACTTCATTGAATTTTTCCCAGAAGGGCATCATATTCATACAAAACTAAACAGGAAAACCATGCTCTGACTCAGTTTCAGAAGATTCTTCAAGAAACACTACCTGTGAAAGGTGTTCTTGCTGAAAAGTAACAGTGTTAGAAATCAAAGCATAAAGATACATGTTCGGGTCCTGGCAGTGGGGGCTGGAGAGAGCACTCATACGCATCATGTACAGGAAGGTATTCCAGTTTCCAATGTACCATGTAGCTGTTCATGGGCATTTGTCCATTAAATGAGATTTACTTTACTCTAATTTTTACTTCTCTGACAAAACATCTGAGTTCGAACCCTTTGGCATCTGAGTTCGAGCCCTTTGGCATCTGAGTTCGAGCCCTTTGGCCTATCAATATGGCAAAAAATTTACAGGCTTTTATCTGATGTCTTTTGTTCCTGTCCAGAGTGTTTCCAATATCTGAGGAGGCAGGTGGGCATCAAAAGTGACAATAATTGAATGATAGCAGTACACCCACAACAAACAGTCACTCTGTATGCCTTTGAAGAACTGAAACTATAAATTGGAAGGATATTGTCAACAATGGGAGATACTGGGAAGAAATGTGTCTCCCTTAGCTAAAAAGAAAAAGTCTTCCTAGGCTCCCAGTTCTGCATTCATGTATTCAAGTAAGAGTCTGAGAGAGACAGAAATGATGAAACAAGATATCACAAATCTGACTTACTTTTATGTGTTCCTTATTTTCTTTCCCCCCTGAGACTGTGCTACAGTTATTGTTGGAAGCAACAGGTAAGGGTTTATGTCCATTTTGTCCTTTTAACTTAGTTGTGGACTTTGTATCTTGTACTTTCACTTTGTTCCTTTTTCGCGTCTTTTCAGTCTGTGGAGCTAAGCAGGGCTGTATTTGCTTGAGTTTCTGCTCGGCTAAATCTTCCTCTTCTTCACATGTATCCTTCAACTGAAATAAAAAGGTGGAAACAGTTTTTTTCCTTTTTGTCCTTAATATTTTGACAATATATCAATATCTCAACATTCTCCATGAGCCATATTGACTAGAAACAATAGAACATAGTTTTACAAAAAGGATGTGATATGTTGAAGAAAAAGCAGAGAGTGAATAAGAGTGTGCGTGTGCGTGTGTGTGTGTGTGTGTGTGTGAGAGAGTGAGAGAGAGAAAGAGAGAGAGAGAGAGAGAGAGAGAGAGAGAGAGAGAGAGAGAGAGAGAGAGAGAGAGAGAGAGAGAGAGAGAGAGAGAGAGAGAGAGAGAAAGAGAGGAAAGGGTGGGGGGGGGGGGGGGAGGCATCTGTGTATGAAAGAGGACCAGAGAGAAAGAGAGAGACAAAAATGATAGACAGACAGACAGATAGACAGACAGAAATACATACAGACAGTAGACAGACAGGCAGACAGACAGACTTAGAGACAGACAGATAGACAGGCAGACAGATGTGGAAAGTGGTCATTTGCACAAGTGATTGTCTTGGACGTGTGACCGTTAGAGTAGGTTCTTAGTCTTAGTTTTAGTAGAGGCTTTTCGGCGCTCGCAGCTCCATACGATCATATGAGCGCCAAGGGGTGAATGTCAACCGAGAAGCCCTTACAGAGACAGTAGGTTCGACTGTCAATCTTACAACAAGAAACAACTCACGTGCTCGAATTCCTGCTCGTCTCCCAGCAGCTTCTCCACGATCATGAAAGCCAGGAGGCCCGAGATGACCCACAGGCCTATCTTCGTGTGGCTGCCGTGGTTGTCTAGAGAGACACACAAACAAGACTTGAAAAAAAAGACAGCTGATAATAGTTGTAATATGTCTAAAGGTTTTGTGTAAGTAAGAGTTTTACTGCATTTGGATGAACGCAATTCGGTCCATACAAGTGCCGAAGATTAGAAGTGTTATATAATAATATAAGTACAAGGGAAAAAAGGAGGGAAGATAAAGGAGACAGATGTTTGATAGGAAAAAAAAGAGTAGACAACACCAGAGCATTATCAATCACCCCCCCCCCCTACACGCACTCAAATGATAGGTATACTTGAAAGACAGCTGATAGTTGTGGTGATGATGTCTAAAAAGTTAAATCTAGTTTCAGTAACAGTCTTTCAGCACTTGTAACACAATTTGAAGATTGAAGGTATTACTGGTGAGTAACGTACGAAGAAAAGAAGGAAGAAAGATAAAGATGATTTTATGACTGATAGGAAAGAAGGAGTAGACCACACCAGAGCATCCGCCATCTCCCC